AGGAGTTCGAGACCAGCCTGACCAACATGGTGAAACCACATCTCTACTAAAAATACAGAAATTAGCCGGGCATGGTGGCACAGGCCAGTAATCCCAGACACTCAGGGGGCTGAGGCAGAAGAATCACTTTAACCCAGGAGGTGGAGGTTGCAGTGAGCAGAGATCGTGCCATTGCACTCCAGCCTGGGCGACACAGCGAGACTCTGTCTCAAAAAAGAAAAAAAAAATTAATCTAACAGAAAACAGGAAAAAAGCAATGAAAAACTATACTACAGACAATAGTTGACTGAAAATAAAAATTTAGCATTAACTTTCATTCTTATATCTTTAATTTTTGTGTATCTGAGTTTTTACTCGATGGTTTAATTAACCAGAACGAGAAAGAACATGCTATTTTTATGACTGTGTCCCATGGAAATGTAAACATAAATGGATCCAAATGCCACACTAGTGAGGATTTTTTTGATCACTATGGTTGTCATGAATAAGTTTTGTGCTTTTTCAAAAGCAGTTTTTTCCTACAATGTCATTTCCTGCTTCTCTGGCTCTGATTTTCAATAAATTGATAAATTATAAATCTTGTTTTCCTCTGATTTTATTTGTTTATTCTTTAGAGATGGAGTTTCATTGATTACTCTGGAATGCAATGTGGCAATCTTGGCTCACCACAACCTCTGTCTCCCAGGTTCAAGAGATTCTCCTGCCTCAACCTCCCAAGTAGCTGGGATTACAGGCATGTGTCACCACACTGGCTAATTTTGTATTTTTAGTAGAGACGGGGTTTCTCCATGTTGGTCAGGCTGGTCTCGAACTCCCAACCTCAGGTGACCTGCCTGCCTTGGCCTACCAAAGTGTTGTGATTACAGGCATGAGCCACCCCGCCTGGCCTTCCTCTTATTTTGGTTTAGCTAAAATGTTGACTGGCAAGGGAGAGGATGGCCATTTATAAACTCTGCATCTCTCTAAAAGCATAATTTGCATTTTCCTTAATCTGATTAAGTTGACACCAAATATGAGAAACAACTTTCATAAAGAACAAAAGAAAATTTGCTTGAATTTACCCTTCTTTATTGAGGGTAAGAGGCAATAGGTACAACTTTTCAACTTATTTTTTGAATGTTCCTATTAACCATCACCGTATTTTACAAAATTAAACTATCAAAGAACTAATTTAGTTCAGTTTATTATTTAATTTATTCCACAAACGCTTATTAAGTGGCAACTAGGTCCCAAGTACTGTTCTAACTACTGACGATACAGATGTACATGAACAAAACAAAAATCTCTGGCATCCTGGAGTTTACATTCTGTGGGAGTAGAGATAAAGGATGAATACATTACGTAGAATGTCAGCTAGTAATAAGTGTTACGGAGAAGAAGCAGGAATGGAGGATAAAGTGTGTGTTGGGGGTACTGTAATTTTAAATAGCACTGTATGGAAATGAAAGGTGGTATTTCAGTCAAGATTTTCAAACTGTGGCTGGGTGCAGTGGCTTATGCCTGAAATCCCAGCACTTGGGGAGGCCAAGGTAGGCCAAGGGTAGATCACTTGAGGTCAGGAGTCTGAGACCAGAATGGCCAACACAGCAAAACCCTATCTGTATAAAGAAATACAAAAATTAAGCCGGGCGCGGTGGCTCACACCTGTAATCGCAGCACTTTGGGAGGCTAAGGCAGGCGGATCACCTGAGGTCAGGAGTTCGAGACCAGCCTGACCAATATGGTGAAACCCCGTCTTAAAAAAAACAAAAATTAAAAAATTAAAAAAATAAAAAGAAATATAAAAATTAGCTGGGCATGGTGGTACACACCTGTAGTCCCAGCTACTCTGGAGGCTGAGGTGGGAGGATCACTTGAGCCTGGCAAAGTTGAGGCTTCAGTGAGCCGTGATAGCATCACTGCACTCCAGCCTCTCGACAGAACTCCCGTATTAAAAACGCCTCTACATTTCATTGTATGTAAATGATACCTCAATTCAAAAACAAAGTATGAATAGTACAGTCGCCACTTCCTTTTATAGATGAAGAAAAACAAAGGCTCACTCAGAGTCAGACTTGCTAAAGGCTTTGATAACTTGCATTATTATTATTCAAGTGTACACAGCCGGTTTCAGACAAAGCTTCTTCCAAAGACCTATCCCCTCAATGACACCAATCATCCATGATTTTTTTTTTTGAGATGCAGTCTAGCTCTGTCAAGGCTGGAGTTCAGTGGCACAATCTCGGCTCACTGCAACCTCCCCCTCCCAGGCTCAAGCGATTCCCCTGCCTCAGCCTCCTGAGTAGATGGGATAACAGACACACACCACCATCCTCAGCTAATTTTGTATTTTTAGTAGAGACAGGGTTTCACCACATTGGCCAGTAGGGTCTCGATTCCTGACCTCATGATCCACTCACCTTGGCCTCCCAAAGTGCTGGGATTACAGGCGTGAGCCACCCGCGCCCAGCCTCATCCATTTTGCCATTTCAAGTGACGGAGGTGGTTTTGGAGCTACAAGAAAGCCAAAATGCCACTTAATCTAAACTAGATTCCTGCCCCAGTGCAGAACCAATCAAGACAGGGTCCCTGTCTTTCCTGGACCATAGGATTTGTGCTGAAGAGGAGAGGAGTGGGAGCGGCAGAGTGGATGAAGAACAAGGAGTCGTTTTCTATAGTTTTAAAGTTCTTCAGTTAAGAAAATCAGCAATTCCAATAGCCTGATCTTACTAGACAGGTCTTTTCCTCACTACTATGTGAGGTCAATTCTGTTCATTTGCACTGGAGGTGATCATACAGGAATTCCAAATTAATAACCTCATGTGTTGACTTACCAGATTGGACACTCTAAGATTTTCTGCATAGCATTAAGGACATTTTGTACTTCTTCAACACGAACAGCAGATAAATCCATTTCTTTCTGTTCCAATAAACTTTAACATATTAGAAAAACATATGTAATTATATTTTAAAAAAATTTATAAAATGACAACTTCATCTTTTCATTTAAAAATAAGGTAAATTTAAGATTTGGAAGGTTTTAGAATATAAACCATAGAGCTAATTACAAAAGCCTTTATTTTTAAAGATTCTAGAAGTTGTTTTTTGTAATTAGACAACATAAATTCTGTATTTTTTCACATATTGCTTCTAACCCCTTGGGTATTTTCCTTTCTCCAATAAAGAGAAAGCCACAGGGGAGTGACTGACTGGGTAGGTGGTGGCAGCCTTAGCTTTTTCCAATGTTTCTGGCTGTTTTCTTCTTGCATAAAACCGAAACCAACAACGACAAAACCAACACCAATCAACACCCCCCCCACCCCCGCACCTAACCTTTCCCAGTAACCTGATCTCATCTCAGGATTCGCCTTAAGCACATCCCTAGAGCATCTGTTACTACTGATGCTCCTCTACTTCCCTCTTGCGCTTTATCAATATCACAAATGGATCCAGTTCGTAAGAGTTCTCCCTCCCACAAAATCCTGTCTCCTCCCTTTCCCAGATGTGTTCCTGCCACCTCTTCTTCCAAAAGTTCCCATCCTCTCATATATACCAGCCGGTGGTTTTTTTTTTTTTTTTTTGAGACAGTCTGGCTCTGTCGCCCAAGCTGGAGTGCAATGGCGCGATCTCGGCTTACCGCAACCTCTGCCTCCCGGGTTCAAGCGGTTCTCCTGCCTGAGCCTTCTAAGTAGCTGGGATTACAGGCGTGCACCACGACGCCCGGCTAATTTTTGTATTTTTAGCAGAGACGGGGTTTCACCATGTTGGTCAGGCTGGTCTCGAACTCCGTGATCCACCCACCTCAACCTTCCAAAGTGCTGGGATTACAGGCGTGAGGCACTGACCCCGGCCACCAGCCGGTGTTCTTATGGACATGTTGTTCCCCTCGAGGCACATTCCAGTTCCTATAACTAGGATTCCCCCTCGGACACACCGTGCCCCCTTCCTTATCCTCAGTGCTTCCCTCGCGATCTACAAACTGCCCTCCTCCCCAGGGTTCACAACGCCTTACGCCTCTTAGGTTCCACCGTCTCCCCACCCCCAGCCTAAAGAATACCTGTACCGCTTCGGAAATTCACTCTCGCCCGCCAGTCCCCCGGAGCATCCCTTGGGACCCTGTCCCTTTCCCGGGGTTCTATTACCTTTACCCAGAGCAGAGCGTATAGGCGTCGGGGCCTCTTGGGGCCAGGGGCCCAGTTATCTCAGAAACCTCACGCCCCGTCCACCGTTCACAGTCTCAGCGAGCTCACGCCGCGCAGTCGCAGTTTTAATTTATCTGTAATTCCCGCGCTTTTCCGTTGCCACGGAAACCAGCGGGCTATCACTGACCATCAGCCTCTCAGAATTCAAGACGCATCAGAGGAAGGGCGAGACAGAAAGAGCCAAGCGTCTCTCGAGGCTCTGGATTGGCCACCCAGTCTTCCCCCGAATGGCGTAAAAAGAAAGAGACGGAAGAGGAGGCATTCTACCTGGGTTTTCCAGAAAGCGCTCGCCGTCTCTCGTCTACGCTAACGCTTGCAGATTATTACGTCACAGTATTTGCTGTACGAAGGCCAGAATCACTACCAGAGACCTGAATGTGAGCGCAAGATAGTGTTCAAAGCAGTCGTAAGAGGTTCCATTCCCCCACTCTTTCCGTTCCAATGGAGGTCTCCTGTTTAGGTAAATAAAAGGATTGTGGTAGGGGGACGGTGGTGGAAGAGAAGAACTACGATTTCCACCATGCATTGCGGAATGAAAGGCCTTCGCCACAGTGTTCCTTGAAAACTGTAGTCTTATGGAGCGGACCATCCAATACCGAAGCGGGCACAATTCTCACGGAAATCCACTGGATAAATTGGAGACCTCCGAGCGCTTATACATGTCAACAGTTATGGATTGGAGTGTTGTTTTTTTATCTTGAGAGCGGAGACTAGGCCAAAAAAAGAAGATACCTATAACTCCTAGGAAGACTACAATTCCCATCCAGCCCCACGAGTCCTCTAAGGTTAGTGGCCTGTGGGAACGCAGGGGCTACCGAATTTGCCTGGGGAACGGGAAATCCGCTTTGACCCACGTCTGCACACTCGTAGTTCCGCCCCTCGGCCCCAATGTTTGTTGTTGTGCGGATACAGGTTGCTTCTGCCCCGCCCCCGTCGACACAATCTCCACCAATCAATGGGGTGGTCGTTTTGAGGGACAAATGGCAAGAGCCAATCGTCTTGGCGGAAATTCAGAGAAACAGGGGACTAGTTACTGTCTTTATCCGCCATGTTAGATTCGCCGCCACAGGGATAGCAGCAGAGCTGGCTGCGGACGGTCCTTGCATTGGCCTCTGGCAGGCGCCCCCCGGGGGCGGGAAGCTGGTAAGGAAGCAGCTGCGGTTACCTAGGGGTGGGGTCACGTCACAGTGAGAGGGTTTGGGGAAGTTCAAGGGAGGAATCCTGCAAAGAAGACGGGGCACTTTTTTCGTGTTTCGGGACACCTAATCTTTTTAGTGATTGGATGAGAGAGCCCTTCTTGTTCAGAGGGACCGAGTGGGCGAAAAGCGCTGGAGAGTTGGAGGGTCTGTGGTTCAGAACATCCGGCTTCAACTGGTGGAAGGCCACGACTCCCTAGTAGAAAGAGGGCCTAGGCAAGGAAATTGAGAGGGAGTCCTCGGGGTGGTGACACCGTCTTGGGAACATGGAGTGCTAGGAAACGATAACTGATAGACTAGGATGAAGTCTGCAAGTAAAAATATGACACTACCCACACGTCCTTCTCATCCCGTCCTCCTTTTTTCGAGACCCTCTTAAAGCGACCCCTTTGGTTAGGGATCTTTCGGTTTTGGAAAGACACTGTTTTTCCTTTTTGTCAAACACCCAGTTTTCAGGACACACTTATTTTATTTTATTTTTTATTTTTTTGAGACGGTCTCGCAGTGTTGCCCAGGCTGGTCTTGAACTCCTGAGCTCAAGCAATCCTCCTGCCTCGACCTCTCAAAGTGCTGGTATTACAGGCATGAACCACCGCTCCTGACCTCAGGTCACACATTTTAAAGCCTGGATAACTTGGCTTGTACAGGCCTCTGGTGGAGACAGTAATCAAAGCTCAGGTTTTCAGGTCTGTTTCATTAAAGGGATTTTGTTGAGACCGGAAGAAAAAAAAATCGACGTAGAGGAAAAGCTAACTTGCGTCAAGCAAAGGTGAGTCAGTGGCATGGACTTACAATAATGCCAGTTATGAAAGCCCTAGGACCCAGCTATCTGTCTTACTGGCTTTAGACCTAAGGGGCAGATGGGGTTAACCATAGCTTTGGTATTTACAGAAGTTCAAGATTAATGTTCTTGCTGAAAGAATCTTTTTACATATCAGCCAAAGATAGTTCCTTATGAAGACCTGGATATGGTCCAGCTAAGCTAGAATCTCCCACTTCCTGTTTTCTCTTAGTTGGCCGACCAGCTGGAGGAGCTCCAGAGTATCTAAATTAATTTCCAATTGTGTAATTTGAGAAAGAGAGGAAGATTCATTTCCTTAAGTGTGTTTCTTGAAGTTAGAAAGTGGTATTTCAGAATATCCACTTTTGGCAGACTGAGTCAGTCACTTCATTTCCCTGATTTTTTGCCTAAGGTCCTGGGGAATTGACAAAAATTCTGCCCAAATCTTAAGGACCCCAAGAATTACATTTCACATGAATGAATACTAGATGTCAGCAGGATTGCTGTTAACACGGTAGTAGTATTTTGGTGGTCAACTTAATTCTAGGTAGAAACAAAGAATGAAGAAAATTGAAGGATAATCATCTTAGGGTTTCAGAAAAGTGCCTGATCTTCACAGAGTTCAGAGTCCTTAAAATGACAGTCTTAATTGTAGTGTTTTACAGGGCAATGCATTACATTGTGGAAAACAGTTCAGGTTTATGGTTCTACAGATTGGTTTATTATTTAAAAATTTTTTTTAATTTAACTTAATTTTTTAAGGAAATGGAGTCTAGCTTTGTTTCCCAGGCTGGTCTTGAACTCCTAGCTCATGATCTTCCTGCCCCAGCCTCCCAAAGTGCTCGGATTACAGGCAGGAGCCACTACACCTGGCCAATTTTTTTTTTTTTTTTTTTTTAATTTTAATTTTTATTTTTAAGACAGAGTCTTGCTCTGTCACCCAGGTGGAAGTGCAGTGGCATGATCTTGGGTCGCTGCAAACTTGCCTCCCAAGTTCAAACAATTCTCATGCCTCAGCCTCCTGAGTAGCTGGGATTACAGGCCTGTGCAACCACACCCACCTAATTTTTGCATTTTTAGTAGAGACGGTTTCACCACGTTGGCTAGGCTGGTCTCGAACTCCTGGACTCAAGCGATCTGCCTGCCTCTGCTTCCCAAAGTGCTGGGATTAAAGGCATGAGCCACTGTGCTGTGGAATACTTTGAGTCGGGAGTTCGAGACCAGCCTGACCAACATGGAGAAACCCCGTCTTTATTTTAAAAAAATAGTTAGCTGGCCGTGGTAGCACATGCCTGTAATCCCAGCGACTCAGGAGGTTGAGACAGGAGACTCGCTGGAACCCGGGGAGTGGAGGTTAAGGTGAGCCAAGATCATTCCAGTGTAGTCGAGTCTGGGCAATAAGAGTGAAACTCAGTCTCAAAATTGATCCTCTTTTTTTTGATCCTCAAAAAAAAAGAATTGTCGATTTCTTAGGCATGCTAATGGTATCTAGACTGTTTTTTAAAAATTCTTATCTTTTAGAGGTACATAATTATTAATGGATAAAAGGATGGATGTCTGTCAAAATAATCTAGTAAGGAAAGAGTATTGCTGTAACCTTTTAGTCACAGCAAATTGGTCCTGAGTTGGTAATTATGGAAGAAGCTAGCTTATGGGTCCATAGGGATTCATTATATTATACTCTCTACTTTTGTATAGGTTTAAATTTTCCCATAAAAATATTTTATAAAATAGGCCGGGCGCGGTGGCTCAAGCCTGTAATCCCAGCACTTTGGGAGGCCGAGGCGGGTGGATCAC